TGTGGCGCCTGCCGCGCGCGCCGCGCTGCGGGCGGCTGCGAACGGGCCGAGCGGCGGAGGAGGCGCCTGCGTAAGGAACACGGGAAACGGCCAGAGCGCTTTGGGGTTCGGCAGAGGTGAGTGGTGGGTCTCGATCGCCGCGTCCCTATGAGGTGCGGCTTGGTACAGCTTCACACTTTCCATTTCTGTCTGTCTCTCTCTTCTTTTTTTGTCTGTTTTTCTTCTGCTCAGTAGCAGGAGAGTTTTCTTGTTTTCTTCTTTTCTTTCTCGGTGCTGAACGAATCCTCAAACGATCCAAACGGAGTAAAGCAGGGCACAAAAGCTCACTTCCTTGCAACCGCAAGGAGGGTTTCCAGTGGGAGTATATTTAACGAACGCAGCGCCCGCGCGTTCAGCGAGGCGCTGCACCAGCCCAGGAAGGTGGGAAGGCCTTTCCCAAGGGAACGCACGGGCAGCTCTCCCTGTGCTCCAGGTGCACCTGCATGGAGCCGGCAGGCACGCGGGTGTGGGATCCGGCAGCACGGGAGCCCGCGCAGGCCTGTGGATGTGCCCAAAAGCAGCTTCACAGAAGACCCATTGCTTATGGTGGTGCCAACGCTGTGAGAACAAATATACAGAGAGACTTGCAAGAGTCCGTGGTTGCTAGTGCAAATAATTAATAAGAATTAATTATGTACATGCTTAAACAGTCAGATTAAAATCAGAAGAATGTGTATAATAAAATTAAAATTAYCTCTGCTCTCTACCCCCTGCTCTTCCTTAAGTAGGAGGGAGTTTTAAAGTTTGTGTCCGTGTTTGTACATACAATTTGGAGAGAAGAATGTTTCATCTTGCTGATTTCTTTAGCCTGTGCAGTAGGTATGATGCCATACGAAGTTAAGGGGATTCATTTAGGCATATGCTTTATCAACAGAATTTGCTAATAAACTCTTATGCTTTTATTGCTTCAGTGTATTATACCTAAAGAGAAAATTGAATCTGCTATGTTAGAAAATAATGGAAGTAAATTTAGTTTATAAATTGATTTAACACTTATTAATACAGCTGATTTTATACCATGGTTGTGTTTCAGAGTGTAATGTGCTCATGTATCTTTTAGAAAACTCTTCAACTTTGTATTTCAACAAGAAATTATTTTTAACTCACATTTTGTTTTTTCTTTAGTTGCAGACAATTGAGAATGAGGTGAAAACAGAAATCATAGCAGATTTCTTTATGGTTCCTTGAGTACTGAAGGAGGACACAGAGATGGAGTCTGGTACAGAAGAGATTCCAGTTAAAGTTGCAGTACGGATCAGGCCTCTACTTTCCAAGGAAGTTCTTCATAACCATCAAGTGTGTGTGAGGCTAGTCCCAAATACGCAACAAATTATCATTGGAAAAGACCGTGCCTTCACTTTTGATTTTGTGTTTGGCAAAAATTCAACCCAAGAGGAAGTATATGCAACTTGTATTAAGCCTCTTGTAGTGTCTTTGACTGAGGGATATAATGCTACAGTATTTGCCTATGGACAGACAGGTTCTGGAAAGACTTACACCATTGGAGGAGGTCACATTGGTAGGTTGTAGAAAGTTTTGTTTTGCTTTTGTGACCTGGACTCAGTCTGTGTGTTTAAATATTTAATATGCATATGATTCTGCCGTTTTGAAATAACTTTGCTCACTCGATGTATTTTGAATAATTTGCAGTGTCTAGAYCAGATTAGCTCCTTGCTTTTTGTGCATAGCTTCTTCTTTAACTTTGATTTCCTGATCAACTTTCCTCATTATTGACTTTCAGTGGGCAATTCTTCTTGGCTTACTCAGAGTAGAGAATCTTTGTCCCACTTCGGTGTTCCAGTTATTCCCATAGGCTGCATCAGTAGTATATCTAAGCTTTTTGTGGCTGATAAAAGATTTTTTAAGGGTTAATAGAAAAAAAGTATGGTAAAAAATGTACGTCCAAACTTTGAGATATTTTATGAGATTCTTTAGTGATTCTAAATACATATGTTCCATGATATAGTCTATACCAAGGATATCTTAGGAAAAAAACAAGTAAAAAATGTTCTTTCACATTTTATATTTTAGCATGCAACTTTTTGCCAGCATGCCAGGGAACAACTTCGTATTTAAATTCTCTTTCTCAAAAATGTTTATGTAAAACTTTTCTATTAACTTGGTATTTCCAAATATTAATTCTCAAAAACCTTAGACTGAGTTACACGGTCCTTAATATTTTCAAGAAAAGCTCTTCTGCAAGGGTGATTTTTTTTTTTTTTTTTTCTTTCTACAAAGTTCCCTATCACAAGATTTGGGTCCTTTTCCATGTGATCTGCAAAAATATGACAATGACAATTTCTTCTATTTAATTAGAGGATAAAAAAAAAAAGATGGGAGCAGCGGACAAATGGTGGCTATTTTTTTTTCTTGTTGGCTCTTTGTCCTCCTCCAAACAGCTCCATCTTTGTCACTTCCCCAGAGCAATCCTCCATTTGATTAGCATTGCTGTAGAACATGCATCATTTGTATTATACTTCATTTTGCCAAATCTAGCAATTTAAATACCTCTACTAGTTGCCTCTGAATTTGATTTAGAGTCTAGTGTCAAGGTAGGAATTCTCACAGGAATAAATGCTGGCCATAGATCTTGTCTCACCAAATTGCTGATGATGTGTACTGCACTTATGAGAAACTTGTAGATTTCTAAACTTCTGTTTAGTTGTTACTATATATAATGAATTGGAATAAAAACTGTGCTCTAGGCACTACAGGGTTAAAGCAAATTCTGTATTTTTCCTTTTTTTTTTTTTGAATGTGACAGATTTATTTTGCAGTTAACTGAATCCTATTTATGCGTGCAAATATTCTGATTCTCAGAAAAACTAATATTTACATAAACACTGGAAACACTGAATGCTTCAGATTCCTTCATGTATTGTGTTGAGTAGTAAAGCTCAAAGACCTCTCTCTCTTTAGCCTTTGTAATTACTGTGTGGGGTAACTCTTAAGTTTCTGTGACATCTTTGTTTATATTTTAGCATCGATTGCAGAGGATGAAAAAGGCATAATCCCACGAGCTATTCAGGAGTTATTTCAGCATATCTCTGAAAATGATAACATTGATTTCAATGTGAAAGTATCCTATATAGAGGTTTACAAGGAAGAACTTCGAGATTTATTGGAGTTGGAGACCTCTGTAAAAGATTTACATATCCGAGAAGATGAAAAGGGAAACACAGGTAGGAAATCCGCTCTACAACCCATGCATTTAGTTTCATTTGTGTGTTCAAATGCAAAATATTCTTGCTTTCTCTTGAAAGTAACTTAATGAATATTAATACTAGAAATAAAGTTCTATTTTCAGATCATAAAAAACATAATTCAGGTGATTCCAAGCTTTTTTTTTCTTTTTTTAACACTTGTAGATAATGCAGATGTTCCAGTAGAAATGGTGGCAAGTAAGGTAGCAATACAGTTTATCCAAATTCTCTCTAAAAGCRCAATGATATTAATGTGATTATTTGCTTGAATAAGTATTTCAAGATTCTTTTTGAATCTTGAAATCTTACTTGAATCTTGCTTCTTACTTAACTTAAACTTCAATGCTTTAAGTAATGGCCATTTATAGTGTAAATATCTGCCCTCCCATTTCCAAAATGAACTGCATGGGGACTGACCTTCTGGAGAGCAGCAGAGGGACCTGGGCGTCACAGGGGCCGACAAGCTGACCATGAGACCCTGGTGTGCCCTG